TTGTGTTTAAAGCAAATAAATCTAAGTTTACCATAGTAAACTAGTGTGTGGCGGGGGTGCGCTTCAACTCGCCTAGGGCACCAAAATGGCTAGAGGCAGCACTGTGAATATGGACAGAACTATAATAACACGTTCCATGATATTCACAGACCCCAGGGATTTTGCCAAGGATTTTTCCAATGGTTACCTAATTGGAGAAATTCTTCACAAATATCAAATGCAGACTGATTTCCATATGTTCCTGAAGAGAGAGTAAGTGGATCTATTTTTGCTCTAAACAGGTGCTTATTTCTGCAGCTAATCTTTAATGTTCACATTCTGTTATAGTAATTCCATCGCCAAGACGAATAACTTTACACGACTGGGACCGACTTTAAAGTTGCTGGGGATCTGCTTTGACAAAAACACAGCCCGAGATCTGATGCATGAGAAGGAGGGTGTAGCGACTCACCTTCTGTACCAACTTTATGTCTCGCTTGAAAAGAGAGAGAAAGCAGAAAGCCGCAGAACAATGAGGGAAACTGATCAACCTAGAAGCAGAGCTGTTTTGGACAAAAAGGAACCCGACTTCTCCTCTGTAAGATTTTATAATGTAGTGTATGGTTAAAGGCTGTTGTCTTTAGTGTTTATATAATTTGGATCAGTAAAATAACTTGAGCTAAATATTCTTGCTCTTTTCTAAAACTTAAAAGCTTAGTTGTTAAAAAATATGTATCTTTTTCTTTTGCATAGCGGCTCCCTCGGGTAGTAAAACAGGATTCAGACCAGAATCTTCTGAAAATTTCCCAGCACTTCAAGGATAAACACCAGAAAGTCGATGACAAATCTGTGGTGACCCAATCCAACCCACAACAGAGGCTTCTCAAAGTGCATAACAGGACAAAAATGGACAGCAAAGAAAAGGTACTAAAGAACTCACAGAGTTAAAACTATGTTGCTAATGTTGTAATTTAACGTTTATAGTGCTTTCTCAGTGTGATGCAATGCAAAGTTAAAGTTCTTTGCAGTAGTTTGGTGTTAAACACTCTTTTTTTCTGAAAAATGTTTATATATTTGTGTCATAATGCCTCAAACAGTGTTGGGCAAAGGTTTGGTGTGTTGTAGGTGTATCATCAAGAGCACAGTGACGTGACGGGTAACCAAACTGACGTGCCAAAGCTGCCTTCCTCTACTTTATATCTTAATATGAAGCAGAGACAACAGCGACACAAACGACGAGAAGTCCAGGTTGTACCAGAATACAAATATTTGATTATATGTATATGTCTTACATTGTTTTGATATTAATACTTTGCTTTTCTGACATTATGTTCATACAGCTAGTTCAAACTGATATTGCTCAATTTGAAGAAAGGAAAAACAAACAGGTTCCTTCTGATAGTGTTAGCTCATCGAGGTAAAGAAAAAAAACTTTCACTAAATTAGTTTTGAAATATTTGGTTCTGCTTTAAAAATCTTGTTTTTGTAACGGTGTTTATTTCTGGCTGCATTACATTTTTATGTGTGAAACTTTTGTTTTTAATTTCTAGTCCACTTTTTCCCCTTATTTTTCATTGGATAGCGTCAAACGGGACTGTGAAGGTTTTGGAAGTGAACAAAAGCTGATGCTACAATCCAGTGACGAGTACATACAGGAGATCCGACAGCGGTTGAAGGAGAATGAGATGGCTTACAAAAGGAGAGGACGAAGAATCGACCAGTTTTTGGCGGAGCAGTTAAAAGTTATTGAAGCTCAGCAGGTGAAACTTCAAATTTTCTTGAGTATGACTTAAGAAAACCTACATAATATGTCCTTTTTTTCTTATTTTTTTATTGTCTTTTGTTTCATATTTGCTCTTCCTTAAATCTGTTAAATATGGTGCATGATCTGTTTTAGGATGTGCAACGAGAGGAGCAAATGGTGAGGCGTCTGACACGTCAGACTAAGCAGGAACAGCGCTTGGCTGCTCAGCTAATGCAGATACGTAGGCAGAAAGAAGTGATTCGGGACAATCGCCTGTTCAGGGAACAGCAGTACCAACAGAGGAGAGAAAAGGACTTCCAGGAGGCTTTGGAGCGAGAGGCAGTAAGATCGATGGGATCGTAAAAGTTATGATAAACGTTCACTTTAAGCTCTCATTGCATAGGGGTAGTAGAGAAAAATACTTTTGTAGTTTGTATGGAGACCACAAAATCTGGTGTTTGATGAGAAAAGGGATGCAGGGTGAAGTTTGCGATTCTTTTCGAATTACTAAAGAATTGTTCTAAACAAGACATATTCTGAAAAGGTGGATGTGTTTTAGACATTCATTATAAAATGAATAAAACTTTTTCTTTTCTTGGTGAGCAGGTTTTGATGAGAATAAAAGACAACTTATTTTAAGTACACATCAAAGACACRTGTGCGGTGTTCTTATTAATATGATAAATTGGATTTGGGCTAAAGTGTGATGCTATGTTATTGAATAAAGAGTCATATTTCAGTTTTTCAGCACCTCCTCCACCAGTTTTTCTATCTTTAATCTTGCTTGTATTGACACCTGTTTTCAATAATAATATTGATAAAAAATTGACAGTAGTTACCTTTATATACTTTAAAACATTGTAGTTACGACACATTCTCCACTGATTCCATTTTCATGCCTTGGTCTGTTGTAGGTTTTGGCTCAGCAAGCTAAACAGTCTCGTGAAGAAGATATCAAAAAGGAGCTTGAACTGTGTAACAGGATCGCTGCAGAACGTGTTCAAAGCAGACACAAAAAGCATTTTGAAAACTGCAAAGACATTTTGGGGCAGATTATGGACTTGGCAACCAAGACTGGAGAATATCGTCAGCTCACTGAGAAGTATGGAGTATACCTGTTTATAAAAATGRATTCTAAACACACAAATGGTGTGATTTCAAAACTTGTGCAGTAAATTCATATTAGGGAATTACAAAATGTCTTTGACTATGTCAAAAATATGTTTTTTAAAAAGTACTATTCAATATTTTGTTCAGATCTCAAACCATTTTTTGATTTGTGTTTTTTAATCCACAATTTTGATTGCTGTTATTTTTCAGATTAATTCCAAAGACACAAATGAAAAAGTGGAAGGAATTATTCTTCGTAGGTCTTCCTCTTTATGAGCCGTTAAAAAGCAGCGAGTCAGAGGATGAGTTGTCCGCTTTTCTCCACCCTGCAGCGCTTAAAAAACAGAAAATACTCAACAACCTGGATTATTACGAATACACGGTGAGTTTCACAGTAATTTAAAAACACTCATGTTTCCTTATGTGGTTTATTTGTATCAGTCACATACATATTAATACAGTACACAACCAGTTAAACTCTAGTTGCGAACCCTAATACATTTATTTTATTCTATATAAAGTCTTCAAGCTGTCTGAATGCCACAAATCTGATTTTTGCCACACTTTTTAGAATATGGTAGGTGAATGGGCTTGGCCAAAGCAAGATGAAACAAAATCACCACCAAGCCCCAGCAACATTCTTGTACATGTTGTCCAACGACTGGAAAATATTGTTCATCCACCCTTCCTTAAACCATCCTCCCCTTCATTTGCTCACGCTCCCATTAAGGCCTGCATACTGGGCAAGGTTTGCTCAGGCAAGACTACCTGCCTGGCTAAGATTGCTGAAGGTAAACAAAAGAAGCACCTATAAAAACTTAAGTGGATTTACATGGTCTTTTAAGAAAACTGAAAAATGAATGTTGATTATGTTTGTTGTTTGTTTGCTTCTTCTGTAGCGCTTGATATTTGTGTTTTATCTGCTGACACACTGATTGAGGAGAGACTGAAGTCTTATAAGAATAAAAAGCAGGTATATCTGTAATTGTGCTGTTAATATAGAAGTGTGTTTTTCCTTGAAGATAAGCTTATAATTTCAATTTAATATGATTTCCAAAGGCAACGTCACACGTGTTTCATTACCACATTACTCATTACCCTATTTTTTAATTTATAAGTTGTTGTCATTTCTTGGTCATTTTACATTGTTTTTAACAATTAACAAAACAGATGTGAAGAATACAATGATTTTAGATTCCAAAAACATTTTGTTTTAATTTTATTAAGTTTGTATGGAAAGAAAATTGTACCTTTTTCACTGTTTTCCTCGTGGCTTTTATACAGTTACCCACCTGGCTAACACAAGGAACCATCTCAAATGAAATGTTAGTGGACATTGTGGTTAACGCAATCAGGTAAGGCATAACAAGTGTTGTGATATACTTTTTAGAATTTAATCCATTTTTTATCTTAATAAGCTAAATGAATTAATTCTCTATTCAAGGCATTTTAATCTAAATGGCACAATGTTGTGTATGAAGATAAACAGCAATCTTATACTGAAGTAGTTGCTATGTCCTGATTAGTCAGATTCCAGCTCAGTCAGGTTGGATCCTGGATGGCTTTCCTTGTGACATCATCCAGGCTCATCTGCTAGAGAAAGCCCTGGGTGGGTTTGTCGATGAAGTAAAGGAAACTGTAAGCAACACAACAAACCTTGCTGCAGATCCGGATCCACCCAGTCCCTCACCACGCCCTGCGCCTGTTCTGGATTTGGTTCTTCTTCTGGATGTCTCTGATGAGTGTGTGGTTAGACGGGCGTACAGCTATAATGGTATTTTGCAATGATTTGAGCGTCATGTTGGGTATATGTGCACATTCAAACATGATCTATTTGGTATGTGTACACGTATCTACCCACACATGCTACACGTGCTTTTGTCTCTTTTTTGTTCTTTAAACCTGATACAGACACAGATGCTGCTGTTCCAGCCTCCCGAACTTCAGATTTGTATGTTGCTCAGATCTCAAACAGGTAACATAAACAAAGCAGATGGAAAAACTGAAGAAAACAAGAACGTAATCACCAGTCTCTGTAACACGATTTCCTCTTAAAGGATCGCAGCATTTCAGGATGCCTGGCCAGAGCTGGAGAAATGGTTTGGTGAAAAGCAAAACATTTTGGCCCGAGTCAGTGCAGATGTAGATGAAGGGGAGCTGTACAGCGTGGTGGAATCCATCTTGCAACAAGTAATCCGAAAAAGACATGAAGGTACTGTATATATATGTCAAAAGCAACTTCTCTTTTTCTGAGTAAAATGATAAAAAATTACATTAATGACAGCTATTCTTTTATGGAACACTGACCTATTTGATCACATTAAATCAACATTATCAATATATTTTCTGGGCAGAACCACAGTATTTACTCAGAAGATTACAACATATTTCCTTTTCAGCTTTTGCTGACCCTGAAGATGTGCTGTCTGACAGAGCAAAATCACCGGGCACTCCTTTAACGCTTGCGAAGCAACCATTAGCTTCTACTGACAACGACCTTGGCATCACGACACGCTGCTCCATTCTTAAGGAGGATAAGCTCCAACGTATATTTTCTGATCAACACTTACTTATCAACATCTGACTTGAACAGTTGCCATCGGAAAATATATTAACATTAATGTATTTTAAAATAATCTTTTGTTTTTTTGGGGTTATAAAATAGGGAACACTGGAAATGTGTCACCTTCCTCAGTGCCCAATGAGGACAATCATGACGTTTCAAAGGACCAGTCAGAGACCACCTCTTCACACCGAGGTTCAGCCCGTCAGCTCTTTGTGGATGAACCCCTTCCTTTGGTAGGATGGCTGCTGGGATATTACCTCTAAAAACTGTTTTCTCTGAAAGAAGTTGCTATTTCTATTTGATAAAATACAAAAAAAAATTCAAAAGTACAGCGGGTAAAATAAGTATTGAACACGTCGCCATTTTTCTCAGTAAATATATTACTAGAGGTGCTAACGACATGAAATTTTCACCAGATGTCGGTAACAACCGAAGTGATCCATACATACAAAGAAATCAAACCATAAATGTCCAGAAATGAAATTATTTGTAATAATCCTGGGTTAGTGAACAGCAAAAACACAACTTTGTTTTTTCCTCACCTTACCCCCAACTTTGTTAATGGCTCCCTCTCCTTGTTTATTGCAGGAGACAGCAGAGTACCTCTGCTCTCTCTGGGACAACGTGTGTGAGTCTTACGTGAATAATGTAAAGCAAGTAATGGAGCAGCTGCGCTCACAACTCACTGCTATTGATTTGGACCTTTTCAGTATCAGGTATTATACCAAGCCCTTTAAGTAGCAAGATTTACAACTATCTATGAATGTGTGTAAGAATTCCCATTATAGCCTTTTTCTATCTTTGTTTTTGCACAACCAATATTTTATTATTATCACAGGAACACATCATCAGCTGCAGGTTGATTGTTTTAATTACTGGATGCAGAGAAGAATCAATAATGTGTGAACAAGTGTTTATAAAATGTTGCCCATTTCAAGGAAACACGTGTTTTGAATGTTCTTACCGCTGTATTGTATAGAGAAAGATACAAGCATTACCTGGGTCGCCCCGACTTGAAGCAGGAACTAGTTTCTCAGTGGCAGAAGGTCTTCAATAGCATACCTGATGATATGAGAGAAGATGAGGATACCAAAACAGAGCTGCATTTGAGAGTGGATGTAAGCTGCTTTTGTAATGTTCTGTATTGTAATAACTGCACTTTTGTCTTACTTTAAAAACTGAATACATTAAAGTGGTTCTGATGTGTGAGCAGGATTTATGTGAGCAGCTGTGGGACATTATTGACAGCCATAAAAAGGAAAACGAGCAAGAGAGAGCCACCCTCACAAGTAATGGCTGGCTAGAAACCCACACTTCTCTCCTTGTCAACCACCACTCTATACTAATACAGGTAACTTCACAAGTTTGATATAACGTTTTGGTTTGCAGATGCATCAGAATTGTATTAATGAACTTTTTTTTTGTACAGATAGAGCTGAGACGGTTTTGGGAAACGCTCCATCTTTTAAGGGTCTATTATTGGAGCATGCACATGCAGGTGCCGCCACTCTCCAATCTTTGTCCCATCACCTTATTAAAATCTGAAAGTACAGATCAGGAAGAGAGGCAAGAAATTTACTTTTTAATACCACCTTACATGATAATAAATAAGACAAGTATGTAAAATGATGTTTCATACATTGATACATATAAAACAGTAAAAACTTCCCAGAAAAACAGCATGTAGGCACAGTTTTCCCCTTTAATAAAATACTCTTTTTCCACAGACCTCCTGACTCTACAGGCTCTACAAAAGCTAAATCTAAAGTGGAAGGCAAGGGTCATCCAGAACCTGAGAAGGTCAGATTTCCTGCCACACTCACATCAGGTTATACAAAATCAACCTCCAAAGTGGAAGGCCAAGCTAATCCAGAACCTGAAAAGGTCAGATTTTCTGCCACTCACACGAAGGTATGACGAAAGGTTTTGATCCACAATCAGATTAAAGACTTGTTGTATTTCCTTCTTTAGCCATCACATGAGAAACTCATCTCAGACTACATGGAAGCCATTAAAGCCATCAGCACTTTGGTAATATTCTGTGTATATGCGTAGGGATTTATATGGACGTGCTTAAAACTATTTGTATCTATGTTTTGTTCATTTCTGATTTTGCGAATGTGAAGGTGTCAGCAGAAGCCCAGCAGAGGGAGACAAATGAGCAGCAAGAAACTGTACAAGAGAAAACAAAAACAACGAGGAAGAAATCTGCCAGTTCAAAAAAGGCTGAAAAAGAAAAGAAGCCAGCTCAAAAACAGACAGGCATGCATCTAAGAAAGCTAAAAAATATTTTGTAATAAATAACACGTAACTTTATTTCGTTCCATCTTTTTTTACCTGAACCAGATGAAGATGTAGAGAAGACACAAACTCAAATCCTCCCAGAGATAACTCATCAAATAATAAAGAAATTACAACAAGAATATACAGCTGCACTAAATCATGAGGGTATGTCTGCACGTACCAACACTTTAAAAATGCAATATGCTATGTCACTTATACTTTTTATGTCGCTCTAAAACATTTGTTTTTATTGGTTTAAAAACTTTTTATGTGCTTAGTCACTCTTGTGCAGTACAGTGTATATTGTGTGATTATAATCAGTTTTTTTTGTGTACTTTTTCCATTTTTTTGTTTGACTGTGTTTTAGAGAATGCAGCGAAGGTGCGCATTGAGCTGGTAAAAGATCGTGGTCTGGTGTCGGTTCAGTCCTTGGAAAACAGAGCACATGAGGTTTTTACCAACATGGAAAAATGGTTTCAAGAACGCTATCTGTCAGAAATGAAGTGGTATGACGAGTACCTATTATATGTTGTATGATTCACGCTATTGTGCTTACAACATTTAATATTAATTAAACTGAATAGCACTGCGCTGCATAATTCAACACATTTGATTAAAATTAACACAGAATAAAAGCTCACTTTGTTTACCTTGTCCTTGACAAAACAGAATGTTACATTAATTATTATATTATTAGATCAACTTGTGTGTTACTGTGTTTAGTTTCATATTCACAAACAATAAATGTTTCTACTGTGTCCCTGGAACAACCTTTTAGAAATGAAACTACATAGTTTTTTTTAAACAATGGTTTTTGGCCAGAAAAAGGCATTTTCCATCAAACATTGACAAAGACATTTTATGTATTTCTCTCTCTTTTTTTTATAGCGTTGACCAACTCTCACATGTGGTTCGTCACATTATAGAGACGGGTGCTAAGCTGCAGTATGAGCTAGTGTTGGTTTGTAGAGCTTTCTGTTATTGTCTACCTCGTTATTTAACATTTTACTTGTCAAATGTTGTCTTTGACAATATTTTCCTCTTTTATTAATTTTTTTTTATTTATCAGAGAGGCTGTGATTTCTACTTGAATGGGGACTGTCTTTTGGTACCAAGTCCAACCCCTCCTCCTCGTCCAGCTCCTTTTGAGAATCCAATACAATCCACACCAACTATTGCTCAGTTAGAATCCCTACACCATCATCTACTCAACCTCGCTCCATCAGGTGCAGAAAAAGAACAAATGTTGTCTTATTAAAGGGTCGGTTAATTGTTAAATTTATGAGCACCTTTCCTTGTTTTTTTTTTTTTTTTTTTTTAATTTTCAGGCCTTATGTCCTGCTCTGAGTTGTCAGATTTCCTTGAAGACACAGCTTCCATCAACAAAGGCAGAAACATCCTGCCTCAGCCCTGGACAAATATAAATGAAACACAGGTTTGCAGAACAAAACCTTCCAAACTGAAGTCACAGTTGTGCGACTTTATTTTGATAAATGTATTGCAAGACAAATTTCAGTATAATTAAACAATAAAGTACTGATTGTCTCTTTTCAGTTGATAGAGATTGTGTCTTTACTGAAGGACGAGTTCGAGCAGATAGACTGGCGACGTTTTCTGCTCAGTGCTGCCCTTCCTTGGCCGTTTCCTTCACTGGCGCAGCTGCTAGATGTACTGCAACGTTTCAGAACAGCGGATGCTGATGGCACAGGCTACGTAAACCAGGAACAGTATCTCCAGGTTAGTGCTTCTTGGATTCTGATTTGCTAGATAAACATTATGTCCAAGTTTTAAAACCCCTCACATCTCTAGTAGCATACCTAATGTCATAACTGCGTGTTAAGTTTCTGCGGAAGGAAAAAAAAAAGCCTAAAGAAACATAAATTAAAACTGTAACTCCCCAGTTATAAAGATTAATTGTTCCTTTTTTCTCATTTGGTAACAGACAGAGTTATGGTTTTCCAGTGAGACTGACCAGAATGTTCCTGAAGACCCTTCAGAGCCTTTACCTTACAACCATCTAGCTAACCTACGCGAGGTAAGGTTATTATAAATTCCTCAATTTGTAATCTTGAAAATAATAAAAAATGAAACATGAATATAACATTGACAGTGATCTCATACATTTAGATAAGTGCTAAGATGTAGCAAGACTGAGGCCTGTACAGACGCAACAACTTAACAATCAATTTCTTGTTTTTGTCTTTTTATCTTCTATTCTTAGTTCTTTTTCCAGCTGTTTGCAGAACACTCTATGTCTCCTCCACGACTGGATTATGTGTCCATGCTGCTGTATTTTGCAGCCGACCCTAACCCCCAACAGGGTTTCATCAGAGCTCTCAGTGTAGTCTTAGGAGAGTATGTCGGTCGGCCTCCATCAAGCCTTCTGGTAAAGGTGAGAAGAAAAGTGAATTCTTTGATTTCTGTTATCAAATGCAGTATGGTTTTCCTACAATAATGATCTTAAAAGAGTCCAATTAAAACTTAATAACAGAAACTAGTTATGTGGTTTTTAGTTGGATTTTCTGACTGATCACTCGTCTTGTGTCACATTGTTGTAGTCTATGCCGAGCTTAGAAGAAGCCACAGAGATCTACTCAGATCCTTTTGGAGACTACATGGAGGAGGAGTTCTTGTTTGCATCAAGCTGCTCTTCCAGGGATCAGGAAGTGTCAGTTGCTGCGCTCCTTAATGTTATCTGCCACAAAGTTGCCCAGACGAAAGACAAAACCTCTCTTCCTCCTGGATGCCCGAGTCAGGAGCAGGTAATCCCTTTGGAATTTTAAACAAGCATTTAACAAAATATAAAAAGGCACTTACATTTTGAAAAAGATTTGTTTAAAGTTATTTTATATAAATTTAAACTATGGTAATCATTCAGTCATATTTGCTTACCGTGCTATAAAGTCTTCTGCTTTTCTCTAGCGCCTGGTGAACATGTACAGAGAGCTGGGATATCAGCCTGAGGATTCTGTGCCTTTCTCTATCCTTTCTAAACACCCTTACTCTAAAAAGCTGATAGAAACCTCAACACAATACCAGTTTGTGGTAAGTTTCCATTATTTTCTCATAGGTATTTTTATTTGTCCATTCATTCTGAAACATGTATTACATTGATTGCAAAACACCCAAAGTGTTCATCACAGGTTGCAGAACATTCGATTAACCTGAATAATTTGTGAAAAATCGCATGTCTCTGGTTCTTCTTTTGTCTTTCAGAACATTCATAAAGTGTTGCTTGGATGAAGAGCGTTTAAGGAGAGGCCTAACAATGTTTTCTTCTGTTTTCACCTCTTTGTCAAATAAAAACAAGACATGCCAACATACCTTGATTCATTATGTAGAAGTGACTACGACTGAACTGATAGAATGACGTCATGTCTGAAATGTCAACAATCACCTCAGTGATGGTAGGATCGACCCTTCTATCTTGCCTTTTCTGTTTCTGACACACTCCAGCAGTTTTTCTGACTGACTTGCTTTTCTAATGACCTGCCTGACAAAGAAAAGGACCCGTTGCCCTTACAATGAGAGCATTGTCCAGGATAACCTGCATGTCAAGCTTGACTTGCCAGTTACGGCCTGCCAAGGCACATGCAACCCTACAAACCCTAACACGAATATGTAAATTAGGAACACAAGCGTGCTGAATAAACTGTGTTTTTGTTACAATGCTGAAAAAAGTTTATATTTTATATATGTAAATAAGCATAAATATGAATGATAAATTTTAAACTGATTCCAACTGTTACCAAAGTAAAAACAAAACAAAACAGGCAATCAGTGACTTCATTCATTGTTTATTCTGTTCAGTATCACAGAGGGGTTGGAGTTTATCTTTGTTGTCACCAGGCTTGAGATGACGTAATGACAGAATATCAATCCATCCTAATAGATATTACATCTAAATAAATCAGACTTCAAACAGCTAATTCTCATGTTTAGGATCTTTGTGGTACTTATATGTGTTAAGTAGGTCAAATTTAATTTCACTCAAATCCTTTAGGGATTTATAATCCTGTTAATATTTTTTATTTATCTTGTTTTATGCAATGAGGGCTTGGGGAACCCTTCAGCCCCCTGTCACACCACCCGTTCCCCTCCTTTCACTGCAGGTCCAGCTCTCTTGCTCTTCTCATTGTCTGATTTTAGACAACACAGAGCAGCTCACATGAGAGATATGCACCATAAATTACTTGTAAATAAGGAAAAAAGCTGTGCCTTAACGCTGGAACTTTTATAGATTTTTGCAAGACRAATCATGATGGATGCATTCTGCATTTTCTGAACACAAGTTGGGAGACTGCAGATGGTTAAAAAAATCTAAAAGGTTTATTTGTGGGAGTATTTTTTTGTCAGTTTTAATTCTAGCTTAGTTTTGAGCTGGATAAGAACAACTTTGGCTGAAGGTCAGTGCTCGCTCCTGATAACATCATGGGGATTGTATTTTGGGCGTTCTTTCTTCTGCTTCCTCCAGTGCATCAGTCTGCCAAGATTCTGACTGTTTGTCTGATCGGTGAGTAAAATGCAGCAGGGATTATGAAATTTCCCTTTATAAGACATCTTTATAGTCAAGAACAAAATTCAAAGTAACACACTAATTGTTACAAATTCCTAAATGAGTTGAAACTGAAATTTAGATGAATTATTCTAAACAAAAAAAATCATAAAAAGTGAAGACATTTTCTTTAGGAAATTATCATTACAGTTTTTCTTTTCCAGGAGGAAGCCACTACTTGCTGTTGGATGAAATATCTCATAACTTACACCAGCAAGGTCATGATGTTCACATGCTCTTGCAGCTTGGCACCCCAGTGATTACAGGTATTTTTCATGTGCATTTAAGAAAATTTAAACATCCTGAAACTAAATTTTGTTGCGAACGGTGGCACATTCCTTTTCCCCGCAGGTTTTTCCTACACAGCACGTGCAGACAGTTATAAGAGAAGCACATGGTCCTTAGGAGAAAAGTACATCAACGAATACAACGACTGGTTTCTGGAGGAACAAACACAGTTTTTACTGGGAAGGTAGCGCATATTTTAGAAGACTTGATGGTTGGACAAGAAGACAATAAGTCTTAGTTATTTCTAAAACATTTTTGGTTTTCCYTTTTCCTCTTAGGGAGAGCTTTAATGGCTTTCTAAACTTCATGGGGCACCTATCATTCCAGTGTGATAAGCTGTTAGAGGATGAAGAAATGATGACTTCTTTCCAAAAGGAGCGTTACGATATCACCATCCTTGATGCTTTTAACCCCTGTTCTTTCATCCTGGCTCACAGACTGGGTATCTGCTGTTCACTTGACTTTAGCTCATGTCATCATTGCAGTCTTTTTTTATATGTACAGTCACCTCATAATATTTTGAATCTTAGTTTTTCCTCGCAAATTGTTTCTTAAAGTTTTACGCTTTTTATTTACTTCAGGTATCCAGTACATAGCTTTTTATCCTGGTCCTTTGAATGGTCCTCTGTCCATCAGTCTTCCCAGCCCAGTGTCCTACGTCCCAGTCTTCAGCTCCCATCTGTCTGACAACATGAACCTCTGGGGTCGGGCAAAAAATTGTGTCTATTTTCTAATGTCATCTATAGGTAAGAATTTTAATAACCTRAGAATATTCACCTTTTTGTAATACTTAATAATAACATTTGTAAATACCAGTTATGTATCAAAAATTCAACTTTTTTACATTTTTACAGATTATGTGCTCCTTCTTGAGTGGTATATATTAACATAAAATGTGTTTTCTTGTATATTTCTGTTTTTATAAAAGCAGCCAGTAAGACTCGGGCTAGATATAATCTTTCTAAATGCTATTTTAGTTACTGAAAAGGTTATTAGTGAAGATACTAAAAGGTGTTGCTATCTTCAGTGCTTTATTTGCACTAGCCTAACATGGTTTGTGTCTGCAATAAGTACAAGTAAAATTTCTTTTATTTTTTGGCATCTTCCTATTTTGATTTGCCAGTTTTTATTACAAACAGAATGTTCTGGGTTTATATATACAGTAAAACTTACCTTAAAAAGATGTAGTTATTTCTTGCATGACTGAGAATCTATTGTTACATTGTCGTGTAAGTTTACAATAGATTTTTTTATTTATTTATTTTTTTTACATCCAAGGAGAGGAACTGGTGTGGTCGGTCTTTAAGGAAGTGGCTGAGCGTCACCTTGAGTCAGGCTCACCTCCTGGTGGGCTGACTGTGTTACACCAAGGAGCAGAACTCTGGGCTTTCAACACGGACTTTTCGCTGGAGTTCCCTCAGCCTCTCATGCCTTACACTGTGCTGGTGGGAGGTCTACTGAATAAAGTCTCCAAGCCTTTGGAGCAGGTCTCTTCTCTATCTGAAATGTGTCCGCCACCAAATTCTAMTCTAAAGTTCATTTTTWYACTCTTTTTGTATACTTGACACATTTCTCACTATATTTTTTTCTACGTGTCTCATCCTACAGGATCTTGAATTGTGGATCTCCAGTTTTGGAGGGGCAGGTTTTATTGTTGTGACTCTTGGATCCATGGTCTCTTCGGTGTCCGTAGATCCTCTGCTTGTGGAACTAGTGGAAGGCTTCTCCAGGGTCCCACAGGCTGTACTCTGGAGGTACGGTAAATTTTACAGACATTAAAGGGATTATTTTTAATTTTGTCACATAAATCTAAACGTATAAACATGCAAGAAAAAAATGCACCACAAACTCTCATTATAGCTCATTTCAGGGCATTGTTGGATGTTTCTTCACTTTTTTTGTAGATATGACACTCACAAATGGCCCTCTCATCTGAGCAGACCTCCCAATATCAGGCTGTTTAACTGGCTTCCTGTTAATGATCTACTAGGTAGGACATAGACCTATTTCACAATATAATGAGTAAACAATGAACAYACCTAAAACAAATTGTGAGAATATTATTTATTTTAGTTTATTTGGCAWTAAAATTCTGACCTTTAAGGCAGGTTTCTCTTATCTTTAGGTTGTATCCATTTTGCTCGACTTAAACTCTCTAACCTTCATTATGCAGAAGTAATCTTACTTTATTTTCATGTTTTTATCAGGACACAAGTTGGTGCGTCTTTTTATCACGCATGGAGGTCAAAACAGCCTGCTCCAGGCAGTGTATCATGCTGTTCCTGTGCTGGGAATCCCTCTGTTTGGAGACCAGTTTGATAATCTGATAAGAGCTGAAAGGAAAGGTTTYGGCGTCACCGTCAAGCCCAAACACATCACCAGAGAACTGCTCCAAACCACCATTCAAAGCCTCATACAAGACTTCAGGTGCATGGATGAATGACTGGGCAACCTGTTTGTGTAATATAAAACTGTACAGCGTGTAACCACTCCATCTTTCTTTTTTTTTTAGGTTCAAGTCTTCAGCTTTGTCCCTCAGCAGGATCCATAAATCCCATCCTGTCCCTCCTGGGCTTCGGTTCACCCAGTGGGTGGAACACATTCTGATGAGTGGAGGGGGAGCTCATTTGAGGCCAGTTTCACTAACACAACCATGGTACCAGCGTTACCTGTTGGACCTGGGGCTTCTTCTCTGCTTGGGGCTTTTTGGACCGGCACTTCTTTGGTGGATTTTGTGTAGGACCAAGAATAAGACAAACACACACAAAAAAACACAATAGACATTTCAAAGATTTCTTTTGAGACTCTTCAGCTTTACACGTCAGTTCTGATTTATGAACTGGACAAATACAAAAAAAATGAATCTCCATTTGTAAAATTTGCAAATGCTCAATAAATCAGCTGTTATTGCTGTAAGTCCATCCTTAATGAAATAAATCAAAGCCAACCAATTGACTGTTTACATTTTATTCACAGCCTCACCATCCACCGTGTTCATTATTGATTTTTTACTTTAGCCAAAACCTAGAAGCCATACTTCACTGCTCAACATGATTGTGATTGAATCATTTCCTCTCRGTGCATGTTGTGCATTTTAGTGTCACTTGTGGTAAGTCCAGTCGTGCTAAGTGTCCTGCCCTTTACCCTCCCAGCGTCAACCAGTCTGACAGGCATCTTTTGTGTCGCTGCACCACGTTGTCCAACACCTCTGTGTTACTTTGACCTGACAGTACTGCATGCTGGGATTGCTGGACATTTTCATACAAATTTGCCCAAAATATATGCTTATTTTTTTTTTCATTTCTAAATAGTCGCAAACTGAAGATTAGCTCTTATTTTGTGCTGATTTTGTTTAGTGGTGTTTTTTGCAAAGAAATAGTGTTGCCACACACTCAAAATTTGCAGTCTGATGATGATTTATGAAAAATGAGAGCAGTGCCGCGTTATGGTCTAGTAGCTCCCAACCATCAGCACCACCTGCAAGTCTTAACTTTGACCCAACACCCTCCTTTGTTGGTTTCCTCTGCGTCTCCTTCCCCTCCTCAAACAAGACACAAAAGCACACAGCTCTGTTCACGGTCAGTGCTCTAGTCATGGTTAAAAACAGACTGGACCTCGGAGGACCCCATCCCCTCTCTGTTCCATTCCTCACATCTGTGTTGGGGGTTAGCCACTGGGAAAATATAGAATAGCAGGGAAATAATGACCAATTAGGACAGCCTGTTCCCTGTCCATTCAGCTGTCCGATCCTTCATTCCTGTCCTGCGTTTCATTTGTCTGTTTGTGGAAGCAGCTGGTGGTGCCAGTGAGTCTTCCTCTGTCTCGCACGCAATCCAAAACAGGCAGGAGAAAAGCTCTCAAAGTTTAATAAGACCGAGACAGTAGGGTGTAAACAAACTGAAGGAAAATACAAACAAACTGATGAACAAGAGAAGTACAGCCAGGAAGAAAATGTGCCTTTTTTAAAATAGAATATGAATTGAAATATTTATTTTATTTTCAGTTTTTTTATTTACAGTCATGAAAAAACAACAGTGTTATCAAGCATTTAAGAATTTCTTTTAACTATCTCTGGAAAAGTAAACAT